GTCCCCACAAACCTATTAACACAGAATCATATGTCCAGTAGAAATTTTATTCAAAACTGTAAAAAAGAAAAAATTTTTTAAAGACATATTTACCTGAACAAAATCTGAGGGAATTTATGAACTGAACAAAACTACATAAAATGCTAAACGAAGTTCTTTATGCTGAATGGAACTGACGCTGACATAGGGGATCGTATCTACAGGGAGGAACTTAATGTCCTAAACATAGTCCATATGTAGATCCATTTAAAAGCCTGGGATACTGGAGAAACTCTGTACTAACTTTTCTGTACACCTATATCTAAATTCAAAGGTGTGTTATTTTTAAAGCATTACTAAACGAACAGCCTTGTTAGTATAGCTCACACCACTTCTCCACCAACTTAATGGATGTATAACCTTGAGCAGCCAAAACTGTCCTGAGACTCACCTGTCAGATTTGAAAAATGGGACTGATGACCGGATGAACCTGGGAGGTTACTGTGGCGGTTCAATAAGATGACCCATGTGAATATTTCCAGACATACATCGGGCAGGCTACCCCTTGTTATTGTCTATTCATTTTGTTGTCTTCACTTAATTCTTGTTTTTCTTATCATCACTGCTGTGATCACGTGGGAGCAGCTGAAAACAAGGCTGTGAGACCAGCTCCGGGGGACACTGGGACCAAGCACCGTGATCGCTTCCCAGCTCCTGCCTAATGGTGGATCCAGCGAACGAGTGGCAGCTCAGCAGCCCATCTTCTCTGGGAAAAGGTCCTGACAGACAAGGCTGCATTCCCAGTGCCCTGACTTCTTGGGGAATCCACACTCCGGAGGGTCAATGGCTCTTGCGATGACAACATTTGCTTCTGGGGCTGGGAGACGTGGAGCCTATCATTCTGATCACCATGATCTTGACCTTCGGGTTAGCTCCCTCGTGTGGCTCCCCACAGTGCCCCGTGACCACCCAGCTGAGGTTCCTGCTGCCCCTCTCTGCTTCGAGCTCCTTGGCCCCAGTACCAACCCTGAGGTTCCTGGCACCCTCCCTGCTGCCTCTGCGTCTCACCCTGTCCTGTTCACAGTTCCGAAGCGCAGCGCGTTCCCACTCCCCCAACTCTGGGCACTTCACCTCTCTCCAAAACACTCCCGTTTCTCTGCGTGTGTAGTTCTTAGTTCTTCTGGCAAATTCCCACCAGCACTTCGGAGCTCCATTAATACATTTCCCTGTCTGTGAATCCAGGGTTAAAACCTGGGGCCATTCGTCACTCAGGTTTCTGCCCCCACAAAGGCACATTCTCAGCCGAGAAGTCCTTGAGGGGAGACCTATGTCTTAGGGATAATGAGGTGCTGAGCCCTCCGTACAATATTAGGCTTAATTTTCTTTTAAATGAGGCAAAGCTTACACAGAGTGAAACGCACGGGTCTTAAGTGCACGTTTTGATGATATTTGTACTAAGACGCACGTTCATGGACCAGCACCCTGGAGCGTCTGGAGGACGTTTCCTTCCTCCCAGAATCTCCCTCATGGCCCCAGCCGTCAGTGTGCAACCTGATAAGCAACCACGGTTTGTATTTCTATCAGCATAGTTAGACTTTCTCTGGTCTTGTACTTCACATACATGGACTCACACAGCAGGGAATGTTAGACTTGGCTTCCTTTCCATTTGTTTAGAAAACCATGTTGCCCATCGCAGCTATCGGTATTTCATGGCTTCGCCGTGCTGAATCGTATTCTGAAGGAATAGTATATGACATGCCACACTCCGTGCATCCAGTCTCCTGTCAGTGAGTTTGGGGGCTGATTCCAACTCTGGGCTGCTATGCGCATCCCCACACAGATGTGTTGGTGACATAGCTTTTCACATCTTCTAGATACACACTGAGAGAATGTGTCTTGGGCAACAGAGTAGGTATGTGGTATGTTTCACTTTAATGATGCATTTAATGATGATATCTATTTAATTATACATTTCTCTGGCCATTCTATCACACGATACCAAGGATGCCTGCTAATAGAATACCTCATCACTGATGTCAGCCTGCTCACCTGGCTCAGGTGTGTGTCTCAGTTTCCCTACTATAGTTACTCGTTTGCATCCCCTTTTCCCGCAGTACCTTGTAGGGAAAGGCCACCGTGTGTGCCTCACCCTTACCAGTACCTGGTGTTTCACCTGCTGTACACGCCACTGCACACTTGGTGGTCCACCCCCCACCCCCGCCACCCATCACTGGGGGAAGGCTGTCCTGAGCCTTCCCTGTTCGCACCTGTTTGACTTTGTCATCTTCTGCTTGCATCGACTGTCGTCAGCTTTGTCAAACTGCGTGCCCATTGCTTTAACTGAGGCTGCTGCCTGCTGGCTCATTTGAAATACACTGACACGGGCATGTTACTGGCATCTTCAGTAAGGGGACCTGGGGCCCAGCTTTTACTGGCTTCCTGCCTTCAGAACATAGCACACCATTCTAACTAGTCTCTTACGTAACTGTCCTTCTCTTACATGTGGATCTTTTTATCAAAGATCACCTCCACCAAACAAAAGGGCATGTGGGCCAAACTGGAAGGATCTTACAATGTCTCAAAATGAGATGATCTGAGCATGGAAGTGTGTATTGACTGCAATGAACTGAAGCACATCCAGGTAATTGTTGGCATATTAATTCATAATGGTACCCCAAAAATGGGGTCAACTTTGCAAGTTGTCAGGGTACACAGTTTATCCTGTAAATTCGTAAAGTGAAAGAATTATAGCTTTTAACATAAAAGAGAAATGCATGAAATAAGATTGGCAAAATAGGCATACTCATGGAAACTATGTGATAGTACATGGGATTCAATAAATATTCTTTCTAATTTTGCATATTGCTGAAACCTTCCATTACAAGGGGGGAGAGAGAGACAGAGANGTACTTTCACAGGTGTAAATATCCTAGCCACCAGCATTTTTACTGCATAACAATTCTGCAGTAAATATGAACTAACTCATTGACTGTTGTTGATTGGTTTCATTTCTCCGTTAATGAATCAATCAACCCCTGTGAAAAAGATAAAGTAACTGACAGTTTTGTTGTTGTCGTTTTGGGCTTCACTTCCCCACTGACAAACCAACCCCCTTCGGCAGACTTAACGTATTTAAGCTAGCTGTCAGTTTGCTTTCATCTCTCCGTTGACGAAGTTCTCACAGTCACTCCCATTTCTATACACAATGCCAGCCCTCACAGTGGTCTACACAGCGACGAGTGGACAAGCTGGTGCTCCGAAAACAGTTAGCATCGCTTCCAGATGACGGGGATTTGCCCGGAGGGTTGGTCTCTTATTTTGAAATCCCCCCACACTGGGAGGAGCGAAGCCGAGGGGCCTCTCTGGGGCGCAGAGTTGAACCCACATTTTCTAGAGAATGAAGACAAGTACTTAGGCCCAGTCCACGGAATAAATCAGTTATTTGTACAGGATTGCCACGAATCTACACACATGTAACATAAAGTCTTTTTCATTTTCTTATCTGTTTTTCATGTTTCATTACATCCCCTTTAATGTCCCTCTTTTATTTGTTGGGATTTTATCTTTTTACAGTAAAATTGCCTTCAGCCCATTAGCTATGCGGCAAAAACGTTGGTGGCAAAATGTTTGTGACAAAATGCTTGCAGGAAAGACAGAAAGATGTGAAGTGATCGAACACGATGTAAACATATGTTGAATATATGTTCTGTTCTAACATTTGCTATACATATACTATATATTGAATTATAAATATATGTGTATGTACACACATGTAATTTTTTTTGGGGAAATGAGCTGACTAATATAACAGTTTACCACTGCACAACAGTCCCGCCATCAAGGTCAGTGCGTCAGCCTGTTTTGTGTATCCCTCTCCCCCAAATGCCGAACAGTTTTGACACAGTCAATAATCAACGTGTCTGTTGAATAAATATACAGTGATCTCTATTTTTCTTCATATTTATCTATACTTCTTGTATGTTCTATGCATGCATATTTTTATACTCAGTAAATATTTTTTAAAATGAATAAACCAAAGTGGTTTAGTTCCACTACTGCTTCACCAAAATGGTAGCTGAGGGCCTTAGAATGTAAGTGACTCACTAAAGGTACCTCTTCTCCTCGCATTGCTGCTATCATCAGCGTGAACCCACTGCTTAATTAACCAACAGGGAAGGCGAAGCCGTAGACAGTATTCAGGGCACTAGGTAAGGGGCACAGGAAATTAGTAACTGAACTAGCAATTTTACTGATTGCTTATGAAAAAAAGTCTACATACATTAGAGCCTGAATAATAAAAGTGGTGATAGTGCCATGCATTGACAGGAGAGGGGGTTGGAGAGGCCACGATGATGCATTCCACTTCCGACATAATGTGTTAGTGAAGCTGGTAGAAGACCCAGGTGGTAAGTTTCATCAGCAGTGAAAACCACAGGATGAAAAGTTTGGAGGGATATTGAAGCTTAGCAGAGAGATGGGGAAGTCCCTTCTCCATTGACAAATCCATTGCGATTGGCTATTCAGAGCCTGGTCCTCCATCAAATCTTGCAGGTGGGAAGATCTGAGGACTGTAAGCTGCCAACTCAAGCACAGGGCAGTTTTGGAGTGTTGCAGGCAGCACAGTTCAACATCTTACAGAGGCGTTCTGGCAGGAAATGATGTCTTACTTACCATAAGCAGAATGCGATGAGGAATGTGGAAGGCCTCTCCGCAGGAAAGGTATTGAGGGGAACAAACTATTCCCAGAGCAGCTAACAAAGATGGTGTTTGTTTTTCTAAATATAGTGTGTGCCTGCTGTAACAGAACCTGAAGCACTACGGTACTTCTGGTGTTCAGTTATAGCCGGGTAATTTCTCCCAAGTGAATGGCAAAATAAAGTGTGCTGCTTTTCATACACTCTAATACTTCTTAAATAGCATGTGATTTACATTGAATTTCCTTTTTTTTTTTTTTTTAGCTGAGCCATCCTGCCACCTGTTGGCAGCACAGCAGCAACTCAGCTCGGGCCAGGAATCAAACCGCTGTTGCTCAGAGCTGTCACTCTTGAGCGAGCTCCTAACCAACTGAGCCACTCGGCCGGCGCTACATAGAAATTCTTGATGCATATCGACATATACATATGCATGGCTCCAGATTCCCACTAGAACTAAGACATGAAGCAAGCATACACACATATACATATGTGTGTAGTATACATGAATAATCTATGTATCTATACGTATATACTGATGTATATCATCTACTAGAAATATACATACAGAGGAAAAGAGATGACCCACGGGACAAGATGAAGGAGCAACAAGCATATAATTGGAGACCTTGAAGGAAAAGAGAGAAATAATAGGAAAGGGAAAAGATTAATAAATTACCAAAATCACCAAAAATTTGGTTTAAAAACTCAATCTACAGGTCCAGAAAAAATCTAATCTNCCCTGTGGCTACTTCCTTAGTTCAAGCCCATGTCATTTCCTGCCAGGATTACTGCAAAGGTTTCTTAAATTGATTCTCGGCCACTACTTTCACCCTCTTCCAGTCCATAGTCTACACATTTCTGCAGTCTAGAAACCTCAAACCTCACTTACACAAACTTCCAAGTATAATTCTCATATTGCCTCATCTGTCTATACTTTCATTTACTGAACAAATATTTTCTACCAGTCTGACCTTGAGAAAAATTGTCAATACTCTCTCTGTCTCAGTTTAAACATCTGTAAAAGGAGAAAAATAATAAAAGTATCCATTTGGGTTGTGATTATTAAACGAGTTAACACATGAAAGCATCTTAGAAAAGTGTCTGGCTCATAGACACCACTCAAGGTGAGAGTTCTATGAAATGTTAATATGGTCACTCGTATAACCCAGCAGAGTTCCTCCTCGGGCCTTTTGCAGCTGATGTTCCTTCTACCTGGATCTTTCTTTTCCCAGGTGTCTCCATATTACCGTCTCTCATTGCATTCAGGTGTCTGCTCAGATACCACCTCCCAAAGGAATCCTTTGGTTTTCCCACGTGAAATGGCTTCTTTGTCACTCTCTCTTACATTTCTTCATGGCACTGACAGCTGATTGAGATTGTGTATTAGCATCTCCTATTTCTTATTTCTCTTAGGCTTTATAATATATATGTGGGGGCTACATTTGTGCCTCTCTACATACCCAGAACATAGAGAAACACTTGTCACACAGCAAGTACTCATTAAGTACTGGATGAATACGTGAAGGAATTGATGAAATGATCAAATGATTTGATTATGATTGTGATGAATGCCTTAGGAAAAAATAAATAAACCTCTAGCCTAGAATAAAAGCAAAAAGCAAGAAAGCCTCCTCGATCTCTTCTCTCTACCTTCCCTTACAGGCTGATTGGGTTGATGTCCCACGCAAATGCGCGAAGAGACTCTTAACTCTTTCCAGCTGTGTTTGAAGTAGCCCTCCAACGAGAATAGAAGGCTCCTGGGGACGCCGAGTTATTTCTATATGTCTGGACCTCCTATTACACCCTGAAGAGTATCTGGAACGGTGAGAAATTTAATTTTTGTCCCTCAACTTTGTATCTTCTGTATTCTTAAAGGCACAACTATATTGTATGTTGTTGAAGGTAGGGGCAGGGCCTTCTACTTATCATAAATGATTAAAAAAAAAAGTCGGGAGCTAATTCACATCAGGAATTTGAAGTATGAAAGAAGAGGCGTCAAGGTTGACTTCACTGTATTTGGTCGAAACAGTTGTTAAGCAGGTGTGGTGTTTGGAAGTGACATGGCTCCAGTTATAATACCATCCGTAGGGCTATTAAGAGTAAGTGATTAACACAGAATGATGAACAGATGATCTTTGGTAATTATTGAGAGCTCAAAACACTGAAATATGTGCGGAAGGAAGTAGGTACTGATTCTGGCGTCTAGAGAACTGGTACCTGTGCTAAGCTTGGCCACTAATACTATTTATCTTCTGCTCAGGCGAGATATGTATTCTCTTGAAAACTCTGTGTTCTTAGAGAGAAAAAACAAGGGAGTTGGACTCGATAAGATAAAATTTACGATCCTTTCCCATGATAACGTTCCATGATCCTGGGCTGAACCAATTCAGATGCACCATCAAAAAATAATTAAATGACAGAATCAACCAAGAGAACATTTTTAGTTTGAACAAATCACGACTTCCGGGTTTTTAAGGACAGCACAGAACTCACATTTCAGAGGGAATGAAGTCAACCCAGCTGCACGATGGTGAGCTTTTTTAAGGCGTAGGTGCCCTTTGGAGTCCCAGCTTGGTGCTGTATCTAAGTCTAATTAAATCCTTTTGTGCTAAGCTTAATTAAAACAGGTAGACGCGGTATGATTAATTCCAAAAGTAAGTAGGTTAAAGTGTAGGCTTTTCTTCTTCTTTTTTTTTTTCTTCTGCTAATTAGTTGAAGAGTGATCTTCCTTTTTGAGAGGCCAAAACGCAGGACAATCATTTCTTCAATTCAAATCTGCTTTGAAAAATCTTTCCCAAGCCTTTAGGCGTTGGAATTTGAGTTCTACGAAATCTGAATGTGGGGATTATTTCTCCTTATTTCATACTTAGTTAAACCCAAAGCAGGGCTCACTGAGAACCAAGGGCTATAGAGCAACCAATGTTCAGTGAATCCACACACACAGTCA